TTTGCCATATTCTTGTTGATCTTTTCTGAAAACAGAACAAGCCAAGGCCTCAAGAAGAGACAGGAGACACCCGGAAGGCGTCTACATGTGCCAGAAGCCTGGAAGGGAGGCCAAGGGGTCAAGAGAGCAGCTGCCCTCTCCAGCTCCTCGGCACGACCTCCTCTCTCAGCCCCCTGGGCTGCTGGCAGCCTGTGTCCCATCTTAGTACTTTCCCACTCACCTGAACAGGCAGCCTGGGGACATTTTCTTTCCTCTCTCCATGTCTCCTTCCCTTGCTCTAGCTGGGTGATGAGTTTTGGTTTTGAAAATGGAATTCCTGCTCACCAGGAAAGAAAACAGGACTCTAGGCTATGGTGTCAAGGGAACTCTGGCTTTGCCTGTGGAACAGACTCAAAAGCAACAACTGGGGGAGGAACTTCAAAGGGTAGCATGAAGTTACTTGAGAGAATTCAGAAAGACCACACTGATTCTGCTCTGCACTGGGTGGGTGGACTACTCCTGTCATAGTCAGTCTTCAAGGTCAACTTGAGTGGGTGGAGAAGCACCTAGGAGATCAGTCAAGCACACCTCACAACATTGTGTCTGAGGGGCCTCCATAGAGGGGGCACAAAGAGAGCTGCCTTGAAAGTAGATGGCACCACCCCACAGGCTGGGGGCCTGGCTGGAATCAACGAGGAGGAGGAGAAAGCCAGTGCAAAGCCTCGCCCAGCCTCACTCTCTGAGCTTCACGCTGCCATGAAGTGTGCTGCTTTGTTCTACCAGCCCTGCGACCACCATGGACCAGAACTGTGAGCCAGAATACGTAATTCCTCCCTTTAACTTTTCTATTTATGCCAGGTGTGGTGGCACATGCCTGTAGTCCCAGCACTCAGGAGGCAGAGGCAGGCAGATAGATCTCTGTGAGTTCAAGGCCAGCCTGATCTACATAGTGAGTTCTAGGCCAGCTGGAACTGCAGAGAGACCCTGTTTCAAAAAGGCCAAAAAAAAAAAAAAGAAAAGAAAAATGTTTTCTATTTATTATTTTTATTTCAGGTGTACAAGGGTATTACCTGCATGTGTATAAGCGAACCCATGTTGTACAATGCCTGTGAAGGTCAGAAGAGAGCAACTGATGCCCTTGAACTAGAATTACAGAAGATTGTCAGCTGCCATGTAGGTGCTGGGACCCCAAAACAAGTCCTCTGCAAGAGCAGTTAGTGCTCCTAACTGCTAAGCCTTCTGTCCAGTCCCTAAGTTGTTTTCTTGGGTGTGTGTTACAAAAATGCAAAATCTAACACACATCCTGTCTCATTTTTAAAAAGGTAGCTTAGGAAGAAAGCACCAGCCTGGAGGAAAAAAGCCTAGAGAAGTAGAAAATATGAACGCACGCAAGCATATACACTCATATGAAAACAAACAGAAAACACACACACACAGAGACACACAGAGAGAGAGAGAGAGACAAATATTCAACAAATATTCAGCTCTAGATTAGAACTTTCCTAGGGAAACAGAGAACAGATGCCTTTGCTCTTGATCCAATCAAGACCAAGCTAGAAAGTAAGATGCCTCTGCAAACACAACCTAAAATCTCCGGTGGGGGAGGGGATTTGAGTCCCAAGAGATACATCACTTACCCAGAGAGACCAGGTTGCTGTAGTTCTCCAGCATCACCTCTCTGTACAGGGTTCTCTGAGCAGGGCTCAGCCGGCTCCATTCCTCCTTGGAGAAATCCACAGCCACATCCCTGAATGCCATGTGTACCTGTAACACAAAACAGCCCTGCTTGCCTAGGAACAATGGATAAAGTTTTTCTATCTAGAGTCTACACTCCTTCAAAACCTCAACTGTCTAAAAGTATGTTTTCTATTAAATTCACCTGAAATCCTACAAAGCCCAATGTGTACACGGGTAATATTTACATAGTACTCTCCTTTTAGCCTTCTTCATGACTTCAGCTGTGCCTTCTTACAAAAATCATCCTAATCAAACCTGTTGATTATCATGTTTTGGGTGCACCTAGTTTTTATGTGATTATATCATGCATATCTATATCCATTATTTACATATATTAAGATTTCATGTAATTGTTTCATCTTTGTCTATAAGGATTTTCATGTGTTGTTTGAAATTTCATATTATGTCATGTTTGTCTATGTTAATTGTCTTCATATGTTATTTGTGTCAAGACAATTTTTAAACTGTGGCCACTTCAGTTTTATCCTTTCTCATTCTTTTTATTGGGCACAAACATTACTGGTTTTATTTTTGACATGCCTAATGAAAAATATACATATACAAATTTATAAATATAGGTATTTTGGTGATACATTCAAAGGCTTTATAATCTTGGGTACCCTAATCATTTTTAAATCCATTAAACAGTGCCTCTGGGTCTATTAAATGTTTCACAAAACTTTTAAGTACTAATTGCTTATACAGAACAACATCTGAGTCAATGGTTTAAGGATCCTGTTTGTTAAATACCTTTTTTGGTTTTAGTTTGCTTTCAAGATGTTTTAAGGTATTCATTTTGTTTGTTTGCTTTAAAAGTATTTTGGTTAGCCAGGCATGGTGGCGCATGCCTTTAATCCCAGCACTCGGGAGGCAGAGGCAGGAGGATCTCTGTGAGTTCAAGGCTAGCCTGATCTACTTAGTGAGTTCCAGGATAGCTAGGGCTACAGGAAGACCCTGTCTCAAAAAGACAAAAAAAAAAAAGTATTTTGGTTTAAAAATAACAAAAAACATAATCTCAACAAAACAATTATAAAATCTTGGTTCTCGTGCAAATTAAAACTGTTAAATTAACCCAAAAAATTTTTTTCATGTCAAAATGTTATCTCTTTGATCCTTGTCTTAATTCTGCTTTTACAAGATGGTTCCTATTATTTAAAATATAACTTATTCGCCGGGCATGGTAGCACACACCTGTAGTCCCAGCACTTGGGAGGCAGAGGTAGACGGATCTCTGTGAGTTCAAGGCCAGCTTGGTCTACATAGTGAGTTCTAGGACAGCTGGGGCTTCAGGAAGACCCTGCTTCAAAAA